AACTACAGTGTGGGCATGTGTACACACAACTACAGTGTGGGCATGTGTACACACAACTACAGTGTGGGGCATGTGTACACACAACTACAGTGTGGGCATGTGTACCTACAACTACAGTGTGGGGCATGTGTACATACAACTACAGTGTGGGCATGTGTACATACAACTACAGTGTGGGGCATGTGTACACACAACTACAGTGTGGGGCATGTGTACATACAACTACAGTGTGGGGCATGTGTACACACAACTACAGTGTGGGGCATGTGTACATACAACTACAGTGTGGGCATGTGTACATACAACTACAGTGTGGGGAATGTGTACATACAACTACAGTGTGGGCATGTGTACATACAACCACTGTGTGGGGCATGTGTACATACAACTACAGTGTGGGCATGTGTACACACAACTACAGTGTGGGCATGTGTACACACAACTACAGTGTGGGCATGTGTACACACAACTACAGTGTGGGGCATGTGTACACACAACTACAGTGTGGGCATGTGTACCTACAACTACAGTGTGGGGCATGTGTACATACAACTACAGTGTGGGCATGTGTACATACAACTACAGTGTGGGGCATGTGTACACACAACTACAGTGTGGGGCATGTGTACATACAACTACAGTGTGGGGCATGTGTACACACAACTACAGTGTGGGGCATGTGTACATACAACTACAGTGTGGGCATGTGTACATACAACTACAGTGTGGGCATGTGTACCTACAACTACAGTGTGGGGCATGTGTACATACAACTACAGTGTGGGCATGTGTACATACAACTACAGTGTGGGGCATGTGTACATACAACTACAGTGTGGGCATGTGTACACACAACTACAGTGTGGGGCATGTGTACACACAACTACAGTGTGGGCATGTGTACCTACAACTACAGTGTGGGGCATGTGTACATACAACTACAGTGTGGGCATGTGTACATACAACTACAGTGTGGGGCATGTGTACATACAACTACAGTGTGGGCATGTGTACATACAACTACAGTGTGGGGCATGTGTACATACAACCACTGTGTGGGGCATGTGTACATACAACTACAGTGTGGGCTATGTGTACATACAACTACAGTGTGGGGCATGTGTACCTACAACTACAGTGTGGGGCATGTGTACATACAACTACAGTGTGGGGCATGTGTACATACAACCACTGTGTGGGGCATGTGTACATACAACTACAGTGTGGGCATGTGTACATACAACTACAGTGTGGGCATGTGTACATACAACCACTGTGTGGGGCATGTGTACATACAACTACAGTGTGGGGCATGTGTACATACAACTACAGTGTGGGGCATGTGTACATACAACTACAGTGTGGGGCATGTGTACATACAACTACAGTGTGGGGCATGTGTACATACAACCACTGTGTGGGGCATGTGTACATACAACTACAGTGTGGGGCATGTGTACATACAACTACAGTGTGGGGCATGTGTACATACAACTACAGTGTGGGGCATGTGTACATACAACCACTGTGTGGGGCATGTGTACATACAACTACAGGGTGGGGCATGTGTACATACAACTACAGTGTGGGGCATGTGTACATACAACTACAGTGTGGGCATGTGTACATACAACCACTGTGTGGGGCATGTGTACATACAACTACAGTGTGGGGCATGTGTACATACAACCACTGTGTGGGGCATGTGTACATACAACTACAGTGTGGGGCATGTGTACATACGACTACAGTGTGGGCATGTGTACATACAACCACTGTGTGGGGCATGTGTACATACAACTACAGTGTGGGCATGTGTACATACAACTACAGTGTGGGGCATGTGTACATACAGCAACAATGTGGGCATGTGTACATACAACTACAGTGTGGGGCATGTGTACATACAACTACAGTGTGGGCATGTGTACATACAACTACAGTGTGGGGCATGTGTACATACAACTACAGTGTGGGGCATGTGTACATACAGCAACAGTGTGGGGCATGTGTACATACAACTACAGTGTGGGCATGTGTACATACAGCTACAGTGTGGGGCATGTGTACATACAACTACAGTGTGGGGCATGTGTACATACAACTACAGTGTGGGGCATGTGTACCTACAACCACTGTGTGGGGCATGTGTACATACAACTACAGTGTGGGCATGTGTACATACAACTACAGTGTGGGCCATGTGTACCTACAACTACAGTGTGGGCATGTGTACATACAACTACAGTGTGGGGCATGTGTACATACAACTACAGTGTGGGCCATGTGTACCTACAACTACAGTGTGGGCATGTGTACATACAACTACAGTGTGGGGCATGTGTACATACAACTACAGTGTGGGCCATGTGTACCTACAACTACAGTGTGGGCATGTGTACATACAACTACAGTGTGGGGCATGTGTACATACAACTACAGTGTGGGCATGTGTACATACAACTACAGTGTGGGGCATGTGTACATACAACTACAGTGTGGGGCATGTGTACATACAGCAACAGTGTGGGGCATGTGTACATACAACTACAGTGTGGGCATGTGTACATACAGCTACAGTGTGGGGCATGTGTACATACAACTACAGTGTGGGGCATGTGTACCTACAACCACTGTGTGGGGCATGTGTACATACAACCACTGTGTGGGGCATGTGTACATACAACTTCAGTGTGGGCATGTGTACATACAACTACAGTGTGGGGCATGTGTACATACAGCAACAATGTGGGGCATGTGTACATACAGCAACAATGTGGGGAATGTGTACATACAACTACAGTGTGGGGCATGTGTACCTACAACTACAGTGTGGGGCATGTGTACATTCAACTACAGTGTGGGGCATGTGTACATACAACTACAGTGTGGGGCATGTGTACCTACAACTACAGTGTGGGCATGTGTACATACAACTACAGTGTGGGGCATGTGTACATTCAACTACAGTGTGGGGCATGTGTACATTCAACTACAGTGTGGGGCATGTGTACATACAACTACAGTGTGGGGCATGTGTACCTACAACTACAGTGTGGGGCATGTGTACATTCAACTACAGTGTGGGGCATGTGTACATACAACTACAGTGTGGGGCATGTGTACATACAACTACAGTGTGGGCATGTGTACATACAACTACAGTGTGGGGCATGTGTACATACAACTACAGTGTGGGCATGTGTACATACAACTACAGTGTGGGCATGTGTACATACAACTACAGTGTGGGGCATGTGTACATACAGCAACAGTGTGGGGCATGTGTACATACAGCAACAGTGTGGGGCATGTACACACAGCCCTATCAGCTACTGACATGTATAATGAATATATGCATGTGTTCTATACACACAGCCCTATCAGCTACTGACACGTATAATGAATATATGCATGTGTTCTATACACACAGCCCTATCAGCTACTGACATGTACTGTATATATGCATGTGTTCTATACACATAGCCCTATCAGCTACTGACACGTATAATGAATATATGCATGTGTTCTATACACACAGCCCTATCAGCTACTGACATGTACTGTATATATATGCATGTGTTCCATACACACAGCCCTATCAGCTACTGACATGTATAATGAATATATGCATGTGTTCTATACACACAGCCCTATCAGCTACTGACATGTATAATGAATTTATACATGTGTTCTATACACACAGCCCTATCAGCTACTGACACGTATAATGAATATATGCATGTGTTCTATACACACAGCCCTATCAGCTACTGACATGTACTGTATATATGCATGTGTTCTATACACATAGCCCTATCAGCTACTGACATGTACTGTATATATGCATGTGTTCTATACACATAGCCCTATCAGCTACTGACATGTACTGTATATATGCATGTGTTGTATACACACAGCCCTATCAGCTACTGACACGTACTGTATATATATGCATGTGTTCCATACACACAGCCCTATCAGCTACTGACACGCATAATGAATATATGCATGTGTTCTATACACACAGCCCTATCAGCTACTGACATGTACTGTATATATATGCATGTGTTCCATACACACAGCCCTATCAGCTACTGACACGTACTGTATATATATGCATGTGTTCCATACACACAGCCCTATCAGCTACTGACACGCATAATGAATATATGCATGTGTTCTATACACGCAGCCCTATCAGCTACTGACACGTACTGTATATATATGCATGTGTTCCATACACACAGCCCTATCAGCTACTGACATGAACTGTATATATATGCATGTGTTCTATACACAATCCCTATCAGCTACTGACACGTACTGTATATATGCATGTGTTCTATACACACATCCCTATCAGCTACTGACACGTATAATGAATATATGCATGTGTTCTATACACGCAGCCCTATCAGCTACTGACATGAACTGTATATATATGCATGTGTTCTATACACACAGCCCTATCAGCTACTGACACGTACTGTATATATGCATGTGTTCTATACACACAGCCCTATCAGCTACTGACATGTACTGTATATATGCATGTGTTCTATACACACAACCCTATCAGCTACTGACATGTACTGTATATATGCATGTGTTCTATACACACAGCCCTATCAGCTACTGACATGTACTGTATATATGCATGTGTTCTATACACGCAGCCCTATCAGCTACTGACACGTACTATATATATGCATGTGTTCTATATACATAGCCCTATCAGCTACTGACACGTATAATGAATATATGCATGTGTTCTATACACACAACCCTATCAGCTACTGACATGTACTGTATATATGCATGTGTTCTATACACACAGCCCTATCAGCTACTGACATGTACTGTATATATGCATGTGTTCTATACACACAACCCTATCAGCTACTGACATGTATTTATACAAATGCAGGTGTTCTACTTCTGTATTGAGTGATAGGAGACAGGTGTATCGATTACAAAAGGGAACATGATGTACTCACTGCATCAGTAGCTGTTGGTGGAGTCACATCTTCATCTCCCTTGGTTTCACTCGCCTCCACTGGGGGCTTATAGATCTCCTTGATGTTGGGCCAGATCTTCTCCACAAACTCCTCCTCTGTGCTCCGCTCTTGGTCCTCTAGGTACTCCTTCAAACCACACACAAATACAAAAGTTCAATGAGTGAATTGGTTTTAACACCGCTTTCAACAATGTCCCAGTTATAGTTAGTTTTTAACACCAAGTTAGTACCTTGATCTTCAAGATTATCTAATCTTATAAAGAATGCCCGAGGGGAAAATTGGACGCATGTCAAGCTTGACGTCTCCTACCACCAACACTGTACACACAAATACTGTATTCCCTACCACCAACACTGTACACACAAATACTGTATTCCCTACCACCAACACTGTATACACAAATACTGTATTCCCTACCACCAACACTTTACACACAAATACTGTATTCCCTACCACCAACACTGTACACACAAATACTGTATTCCCTACCACCAACACTGTACACACAAATACTGTATTCCCTACCACCAACACTGTACACACAAATACTGTATTCCCTACCAACAACACTGTACACACAAATACTGTATTCCCTACCACCAACACTGTACACACAAATACTGTATTCCCTACCAACAACACTGTACACACAAATACTGTATTCCCTACCAACACTGTACACACAAATACTGTATTCCCTACCAATAACATAGTACACACAAATACTGTATTCCCTACCAATAACATAGTACACACAAATACTGTATTCCCTACCACCAACACTGTACACACAAATACTGTATTCCCTACCAATAACATAGTACACACAAATACTGTATTCCCTACCACCAACACTGTACACACAAATACTGTATTCCCTACCAATAACATAGTACACACAAATACTGTATTCCCTACCACCAACACTGTACACACAAATACTGTATTCCCTACCAATAACATAGTACACACAAATACTGTATTCCCTACCAATAACATAGTACACACAAATACTGTATTCCCTACCAACAACATAGTACACACAAATACTGTATTCCCTACCAACAACATAGTACACACACAAATACTGTATTCCCTACCAACAACATAGTACACACACAAATACTGTATTCCCTACCAACAACATAGTACACACAAATACTGTATTCCCTACCAACAACATAGTACACACACAAATACTGTATTTCCTACCAACAACATAGTACACACAAATACTGTATTCCCTACCAACAACATAGTACACACAAATACTGTATTCCCTACCAACAACATAGTACACACACAAATACTGTATTCCCTACCAACAACATAGTACACACAAATACTGTATTCCCTACCAATAACATAGTACACACAAATACTGTATTCCCTACCAACAACATAGTACACACACAAATACTGTATTCCCTACCACCAACACTGTACACACAAATACTGTATTCCCTACCAATAACATAGTACACACAAATACTGTATTCCCTACCAATAACATAGTACACACAAATACTGTATTCCCTACCAACAACATAGTACACACAAATACTGTATTCCCTACCAACAACATAGTACACACACAAATACTGTATTCCCTACCAACAACATAGTACACACAAATACTGTATTCCCTACCAACAACATAGTACACACACAAATACTCTATTCCCTACCAACAACATAGTACACACAAATACTGTATTCCCTACCAACAACATAGTACACACAAATACTGTATTCCCTACCAACAACATAGTACACACAAATACTGTATTCCCTACCAACAACATAGTACACACAAATACTGTATTCCCTACCAACATAGTACACACAAATACAGTACACACAAATACTGTATTCCCTACCAAATACATAGTACACACACAAATACTGTATTCCCTACCAACAACATAGTACACACACAAATACTGTATTCCCTACCAAAAACATAGTACACACACAATTACTGTATTCCCTACCAACAACACAGTACACACAAATACTGTATTCCCTACCAACAACATAGTACACACACAAATACTGTATTCCCTACCAACAACATAGTACACACACAAATACTGTATTCCCTACCAACAACATGTTTCTGTATGAAGTTTTTAACAGTATCCCAATCATGAACCCCTCAGACTATGGCACCTGATGATTAATATCAATGCTAATCTGCTATCCTGTACCTGTGCAATATGATCAATGATGTGTCCATGATGTATTTTGGAGAAACATACACATCCAATACTCCAAACGTTTAGACACTTGTTAAATGTCATGATAAAAGCAGATACATTAACCAGTAATGTCTGGAGGAAAAATACATAACTCACAGTAACCGATTTGTCAGAACAAACTGATTATATCCAGTGAGCAATGATGAAATCCAAACAGGACTTCAACCAATTGAGCCAATAATCAGATACAAACTATTGTATGGAGACATGGCTCATAGTTTAGCATTAGAAGAATACAGCATCTTTGCCCCATCTTTGTCCCAGCATTTTCAATTTGGACAGATATAGCCTGGGAAGGAGTTAGAAAACATGGTGTGATCTTGTTATTACTGCCACACAGAAATAGGTGAGGCAACTTATCTGGTAAGTAATACTGCTGAAAAAGGCAAAACTCTGGGCCACATTGTCTCTAACCTCCCCCAGGCCATGCCTGAACAAACATCCATATAATGCTAATCTGAACTGGTAAATCTGAAGCTAAATGCATCCCAAACTAGGTGTATGACACCATACATACTATAGGCACATGCATTCCACAACTAGTTTGTAACATCACACTATATCCATTCTGTAATATTTTGTTTGTAAATAAACATAAAAAAACTGAAGAAATTTGTAAAGCAGGTACCGAACCATCTAATACCAAGCAAATGGGTGAGGTGAGGTGAAATAGGGTTTAACGTTGCGTCCAAGATTATTGCACTTATATGGCGACGTGCATGTACGTGTATATGTGTGTGTGGCTGCTTGTACAAGTCCGGACTGATGCCGATTTATAGTGCTAGCACACTGAGATACCATGCCTCAGTTTAACATGAATACCCCAATCAGACAAAGTATACCCACTCCAAGCCGACCAGTCCTTGTTTTAGCCCCTTAATGCCGAGTGCCAGACAGGGTAACAACAAGTACCATCTTTTAATGTCTTTTGGTATGACGCAGTCGGGGATCGAACCCCGGACCTTCTGCTCTCCGGGCGGACACTCTACCATTAGACCACGGAAGCGGTCCCCAAGCAAATAGAGTGAGTGAGAGAGTGTGACTTTATGCCGCATTCAGTAATATTCTGGGAATATCACGGCAGGGGACGCCAGAAATCAAGGGAAAAGAAAACACCTACAGGTTTGTGTAACTATTTGAAGCTGAACCTATTTGAAGGCAGCCTGTAAAGATATGGGCCAGACCAATGGTTGAGACCATGAGCAACACACTAATCATGCTGTCAGTTAATAGTGACACAATCAACAAGGTCAACAGGCAGGCAATAGAATTCAAGGGATCTTTCCCCATCCAGGTCCCCACTGGTGTTTCATACTGAACATACCCTACAACACCACACAAGGGAAATTAGGAAAACTTTATGCATGTTTAGAAGAATGTTTGCAAAACGATGTTACTATCTAGATGAGTTAATTCCCGCCTACTACTTCATGACACGTAAGTTTGTGAGGGCTGAGAAATACAAATGAAGATGTCATGAGAGAGAACTCATATATATACCTACTGCCAATTTAACTTTTTTGTTTCAAATTTGAAATATCACATTTACATGTACTTTGAAACCTGTAAATTAACAACTGTAGGTTTAATTAAGCAGAATGTTCACACAACATATGACATGCCATATGGAGATGTTGGGAGGTCCCAACCAAGCTGGACTAAGACACATGACCATACCTTTGCTTCCTCCTCACTCACTGTACCATCAGAGTCAATATCAAATTCTGGGTGTGACATCATTTCACTTGTGTCAACACTGCAATAGACAACCATACACCTTACTATTGGAGCTAACTGTTGCCAGCCAGGCAGAACACACCTGTGTCCAACACACATGCTGCCTGTAGTCACCTCATATAACCAACATTATTCTGGCATGTCTCCAGCTTCACTTAAATACTTGGGTTGTCACTGCCACCAAAAATGGAGCCATTGGCATATCTAAAGGAGGCAAGTATAATAAGCTTCAGAAATATTTCACAACTAAGGAGAGAAACACTAGATGGAAACAAAAACGGAATTGAGAACGCTTCAAACCAAACCAGAAGCCCTGCTAGCCCAAACAATGTCAGTTATATGAAGCATGTAGCATATTACGGAGAAGCAACAAGTCAGACTTCATTTGACTATTGGTTAACTAATGTCTGACTTGTCACTACAAGAAAGCAGGCTCCTCTCCAAACCACCCTGCTGCAAGGCAAACAACTGTCCCCCTGCTTCAGCTACCTTTATGTCCTCTACTGTCACAGATCCATCCTTGTTTTTGTCAAAGCAAGACTGGGATAACATCTCATCTATTGTTATACTGAAAGGAAAATGCAACATACATCCTTTACACCTCACCATGTAATGCAAGTGAATGTGATTTTATTAAATTAATTAAAATGCTTACATTAAAATCTATGTAAATATCTCAGGATATGCCATACTAGTAAAATCCTAGATATTTTTTATATTTGTATACTTAACCTGCATTACTCCTTATGCATTTACTGCTTGTTCTTGACAGAGAAAAGAGTTGTGTGAGGGTCTTTGCTTGAAGAAGTTGCTCCAACTAGCTGAGAGGCCAGCCCATCATGCAGCTCCCCCGTGACCAAAGGAAGTGATGTCACGGATCCTCACATTACTCTGGAGTCCGAAACATCAGAAGGCATCTTTGGGAGGTAGATCTGCGATTGGTGGGTCCCTTTAGATGCAGTAATGCAGGATAAGTATACAAATATAAAAAATATCTAGGATTTTACTAGATATTATACTTATCCTGCATTACTCCTCAATGCATCTTTATCGGATGGAAACGGAGGCGGGCATACCTTCAGATGTGGCCTTTTTTATCTTTTATTCCCAGACTCTGTTCTCTAGCCAATCCTTGGCTGTGTGGTCGGCTTCGGGTGACCACTCCATGTATGTGAACCTCCAATTCCCTCATCCCGTCCTCTACTGTGTGGCTGGCGTCAGGTGACCACTCCATGTATGGGAACCTCCAATTCCATCAGCCCGTCCTCGGCTGTGTGGTCGGCCTGGATGACCATTACATGGAAGGGAAGAGTCAGGTGTGCATTGTGTCCTGGTACTGCGCAGCCTGACAATAACACACGGGTAGGTCGACACTGGAGCACCGAGCTGTATGCAAATGAGGCATGAACCTTCTATTCCAGGGCTCAAGCCAGGGGAGGTCGAAAGGCCAGCTCTGGACTTGGAGGTGTATTCAATGACATGTAGTAGTGGTGACCTGCTGGGCCACTACTAACGGACCAAAGCTGTGCATGCCTTGCACATCCTCCAATGCGACGTCTCGCAGGTAGTGACTGGCGAAGATCGTGTTGGATCGCCAGAAACATCCCTTGATTATGGTGCGTAGAGAGCAGTTGCTGTGTAGCGCCATGGTGGAGGTGACCGCCCAGATCTCATGCAGGTTGTTGGAGTGTTGGGGGTCCAATCTCGCGGCCTCGTAGGCCTGGAAGATGATGGCTCGTAGCCAGAGGGCAATCGTGTTGCGGCTGACTTCCGCTCGTGAGGTCGCAAATACCGGTACGAAGAGGCGTCGTCGTTGTCTACGGCGTGCCTTGGATTGTCGGATGTAGCTAGGAATTTCTCTAACACCGGACATAGATTAAGCTCTAGTTCATCTTCCGCACCCCCAATCGATGAAAGCGGGGGGGGTAGGAACAATCTATTGGGCTGGTCTGGGAGCTGATTTTTTGCAATAAAGTCCCAGCACAGGCCCAGATGCACGGCTCCGTGTGCTCCCTGTTCAGAAGAGCAGACTCGTGTGACGTCTAGGGCGTGTAGCTCATTGACACGGGCTGCTGTGGCGAGCGCCAGTAGGAAGACCGTCTTTTTTGTAGAATGACGATGTTTTCGAGTGGCTCGAAAGGCACTTCTCTCATCGAAGTGAGAATGACGTTCAAGTTCGCCTTTTGGTCTTCCAGTCTGAATGAGCGGAGCAGTGCCTGGAGTTCCGGGATTTTAGTCATTCGTTGATCTTTTGGAACTGCCAGGACGGAGTAGAGCGCCACAAGGTAGGTCATGATGGTACTGCCCTTGAGCTTAAGCTTGTGACGCAGATGGTGCATGAACTCGGCCAGGAATTCAGGCGATGCAGATGTGGGGTCTTGGTGCTTGCCCCTGCAAAAGCTCTCGTAAGATTGCCCCTTGACATCATAGAGGCTCCTGGTGGTTGGGTGATGTGCCATCGTGCTGGCCCTGGACGCTCTGGCCAAGTAGCCTTTGGCGTTCAGTGTTCTCTGTAAATCGACCAGACGTGAAGACATAACCTGTCTCGTCCTGGGTGTGGCTGTCTGCTGTGAGGGTGGATTAGCAGATTTGGCCAATCTGGGAGTGACAGTGGGTTGACGTCGGACAGCTCTCTGAGGTCTACGAAGCAAGCCCTTGCTGGCCACCAGGGCGTGACCAAATTCAGATCGATGTTCCGTGTTGATCTGATCTTCTGGACGACTTTGGGAAGGAGTACAGGTGGCGGAAAAGCGTACGCTTTTTGTCCTTCCCAGGGGACAATGAAAGCGTCGACTGCCCAAGCCAGTGGATCCGGCAGCGGAGATATGTAGGGCGGGATCTGGTAGTTCCGACTGGTGGCGAATAGGTCTATGTTGGGGAGACATTGGTCTCGACAAACAAGAATGAAGGCATCAGGGTGAAGTTTCCACTCTGTGGGAGCCACTTTGCCAGGCTGAGATAGGGCATCCGCTAGGATGTTTCGGCAGCCCGGGATGTGGTGGACCTGGAACTGAATCCCCAGATGATCCACCAGGTGAAACAATCTGAATGTCTGTAAAAGGAGCAAAGTCAAATGAGTCGTTCCTTGGTTCTGAAGGCACCATACGACAGTGATGTTGTCTGTCGAGATGGGCGTGTCTGAGGGCCTGCTTCCAGTAAGCGATGGCCAAGGTAAGCGCTTCCAGTTCGAGGTTGTTGATGTGCAATAGGCGCTGATTGGCGGACAGCAGCCCCGAGACAACCTGTCCCTCCAGGTGTGCGAACCATCCCAGAGAGGTCGTAAGCCCTGTGAAGGAGACGCTGCCAAAGCCATTCGATTCCACCGTCCATCACCGGAGATGTTGCTTGACATGATCCGGGAGGACGATGGATACGGAGGGGTCCTGGCGCCTGATGTAGGATGCTAGGAACATCTGAACTGGGCGCATTTGGAGCCTTCCTCTGTAGGTCAAGTCCTGCGCTGAGGTTAGGAGGCCCAGGAGGACTTGCCATTGACAAAGAGTGTGTGGTAGGTGGAGAGCTGGAGTCAGGTGCCCCTGCATGTGCTCCCACCGGTCTCTGGGTACAGAGATTAGATCAAGGTCTGTCTGGAAGAGGCCCCCGATGAACTGAAGGCGCTTGGAAGGTGTAAACTCTTGACTTCCTGAGGTTGATCTTCACACCCCAGCTGGTGTAGGAGCCAGAGGATAAAGTCCCTGTGGCCGAATAGAGAGACAGGCTCCCGATGGTCCAGTAGGCAGTCGTCTATGTACGCCTTGAACTTGATGTCCCGGCGATGGAGGTACAAGGCTATCGGCTTGGTAAGCCATGTGAATAGCCACGGGGGCTAAGAAATTCCAAATGGGAGGACCGCCCATTGATAATGGAGATGACGTGGAGGAATTTCCGGTCGTCGGGATGTATAGGGACATGTAGGTAGGCGTCCTCGATATCCAGGCTGATGAGGGCCTCCTGTGCCGAGGACCCGGGGTCGCAGTAGCCTGAGCGTGGTCATCCTGAAATAAGGTGGACGCGCCAGGTAGTGTTTGTTGAAAGGGGCGAGGTTGTGGATCATCCTGTGTTTGTCGGAGTCCTTCTTGGGCACCAGGAAGAGAGGTGAGTAGAAGCCTGGTGTTATGGCTGGGGCGTGTACAACCTCTATGGCTTTCTTCCATAGCAGCGCCGTGATGTTCCAGCTCATTAGCTGCTGTTGGGTGGGGTGGGGGGTATGTGTCCACTATGGGTGACGACATAGTGCCAGAAATGAGTCAGTCTCCCACCTACTGGGGTGTCGACAACTTGGACGGCTGGGGATGGGAGGTCCCAGTTGTGCCTGTCTGGCGATTCACTGGAGGTCCCTGCGGTTGGCATTACCTCCCTTGGAGTAGCTGCGACAGGACTGCTATGTGCCTGAGGACTTTCCTTTCCCCTTGCCTCTGCCCCGAGAGGTGGAGGTGGAGCCCCGCACCCGAGTCTGCATCATGGCTGGTAGGAGCCAGACTGGGACGCCAGGGCCTTGAGAGCCGTCTCATCAAGGGCGAAGGCCGAGACCTGGGAGTGTTTCCTGGATATCTGTCCATTAAAAACGTCAGAGCCGGACCAAGGTTGACGCAAAAGGTCTCTCTTGAACTCTGGGTCCCAATTTGACAAGGCAAGGTACCCAAGGCGTCTAGTGGTAGTGAGTTTGATCAGAGTGGTGCGCATGTGGGTTCCACTTGTCGTTGGAGGTAGGATACAACCCCAGTTAGATGGTCAATCCTATGGGGGTTGTCCTCCGATAAGTCCTGCAGTATAGCTATGGAGGATGACGCCATCAGTGAAAGAGGTTTGAAATCTCGGTTTCCACGTAGCGAGTTTGCTGTCGGAAACTCCGACTGAGGTGGAGCGGTTCGATCCCGTCATGCGGTGCATCTAAGGAGAGAGCGTGGTCCGCAACTTGAAGCGAGTGGACTGGGAAGTCATCTCGTCTATAACGTGGGGATGAAGGATGGAGTCAGTGACAGCCTACTGAAGTCCTCATCCAGAGCTGAGATCATGTCTCTTATCAGTGGGTCAGGAGGGATTGAGGTGGGATCTGCACGGATGAGAGTCTTGCTATCAACCTCTAGGCCGGGCGAGGGAGCGATTGCCTCCAATCTGTCTGCCAGCCAGTCTGCGACTTGGTCAAAACCCAGGTGGGATTCGCCATCCATAAAGGTGTCGTCATAACAAGGGATGAACGCGCTCTCCGAGGAGTCAGACCAATAGCCACTGGAGCGTCTGCGAACCGGGGAGCGGCTCCTAGATCTATGACCCTGTCTAGAAGATCTGCTGTCACTTCGCCTTGAAGACGTACTTGGGGAAGCCGGGTCCGCGGAGTGACGAGAGGTAGAAGGCGTCTGTATGGGCGCTGTGTAGATAGGAGCCAGCTGAAAGGCCGCTTGAGGAGGCGTCTGCAGAGGTGCTATGGGAGGCACTTGTAGAGGCATCTGTAAAGGCGCTGGCGTCGACGGCTGTCTGGCCTGTAAGTACTGAATGTACTGGATAACAGAGGCGTCTATCATGGGCATCTGTGCCGTAGGTGGGGCCGCCTGTGGGAGATCAAGTGTCTGTCCGGAGGATAGTATAGGCGTCGTCGGGTATGTGAGCGCCACGCCGGGCGTCAAGGTGGTCGCCGCCGTAAAGATAGACGCTGTTGTGGTTGTCAAAGTGCTCTGGGTAGAGACTGCGACCGTGGGATCCGACATCAAGGTAGCAGTTGAGGTCAGGGGATACTCATCCGACATGGCCGATCTTGTAGGCAAATTCTCGGAGCCGTCTGACATCATGCGCCGGTGTTTCCTGGCCTGCTGTGTCCTGCGTTTTTTACACACACAGAGGTACTGACTGAAAGCAGTAAACAGTCTTTACATCGGTGACCCTGGACGCATTGAGATGTACAATTCAGGCAGGGTATGACTCACACGCTGACATATTACACCGGCACTTAGAGCAGGAGGGCATGATATCTGCAACAAAGCAGTGTAAAATCACACTGCGTCCCCGCACGATTATGTATGCTATAATTTGTTTAACCCACTGTGTGGGTTTATGAAATAAATATTACGACAAACGTAAGACAACATACACAAAAAAAAACAATACTTGCGAGGATACACCAATCGTGTGGTACCAAGCAAAAGAATATTGAACGCAAACCAGTTCACTAACTGCTGGCTATGTAAAATATTCAAGATGGCTACTTGGAACAACAAGACACCTGGCCTTATGTTTTCTTTTGAGAAAACGCCAGTAAGTGTCTATTAACGTTATGCACATTTTTATCAAACATAGAATGCAGGGGTCCGGAAAATTTAAAATCCCAATCGGACATTTACATTTATGCCACGCCCCCTTCAAACAGCGTGTTTTAGTACGACTTTTTACACACAAATTACAAGTTGTTACGTATTCATAATATGATGAATTATGAATTGTTTCAATTTAAATTGTTTAATTCACCGGACAATTAATAACAAATAATATCATTTTAGATATATATGGAAAACATACGTTTGTTTCTGTTATAATAACGATCTGTCAACGTTGTGAACGGTCTAATTAATATTCATTAGTCTGCTCAAGTGTACGCGTTGTAACATTTGGATCGAGACTATTACCCCAAATTTGGTTATCACGTGACCTCACGGGAAAAGGTTTTTTTTAAACTAAAGATTATTTAAAAACAAGACAGATAATATAATCATAAATCCTAAACTATCGTTGATAGCAATAGTTATTTAAATACTTCTTCATCTGTACTTAATTATTGACCATAAAAAAATTTGATATCGATCGTCACAGAAAGCAAAATGGCGGTCAATCAAGATTCAATATACGACTAGCTACTGAAAACAATAAAATCTGCAAATCCTCATTGTATGTCAACCAAGTGAAAGTCGTTAGCCACGACTTACAAAATGATCATTCAGACTTTGAGGGCTTGGCAGATCCGCTCGACGGATCTGCATCGGTCGACTGGCTGTCGTCACGCTTTCGCTTCTTGTCTGAGGTTATGTATCGTAGCATTGTGAGGATAATGAGGTACATCGATGATGCAAGGTATTAATGTACAGTTGTAAACACATATTACTCAAATTTACAAGATGTTCTCAGTAATTAATCCTTGATTAATCAGTGTCAACTCAGTTTATTGCCTATTAGAGTGATTGACCGATTGGACTATCATTGTAGGTACGATGTATTTACAGCAATCAAAACAAACAAAGCTTGTCAGTGTAGATAATCTTCGTTGTGTTACAACTGCAGACAGAAATTGCTCAGTCCTAACTGTTGATCATGTCCGGTCAAAATTTAAGAATGTCCGGACAATACTTTTTAAAATGTCCGGACAGAAAAATTTAAATGTCCGGTAAGCAATATTTTAAACCGGACATTTGAGATTCCCAATCGGACATGTCCGGCGCATATGACGGTTTCCGGACCCCTGATAGAATGTACAAAATACAAACCGTAGGCACAACACAAAGACAAAAAACATTAACTCAGATAGCAAACACGTCAGGGTTTGAATCAGTTGATGTTACAAAAAAAAAAAGGTCTTCTCTCATCAAGTGACGAGGGTAATGAGAGGATCCGTGACATCACTTCCTTTGGTCACGTGGGGAGCTGCGTGATAGGGTTGGCCTCTCAGCTAGTTGGATCAACTTCTTCAAGCGAAGACCTTCACTCAGCTCTTTTCTCTGTCAAGAAAAGCAGTAATATGTAGGAGTAATGCAGGATAAGTAAAAAATTAAGATTTTATCAAGAAAAAAAGAAATTGTACCGTAAATTCTTGAAAAATTAATTATGCTACATGTTGCCGGACAAAAAAAAGAGAAATTGTCTGCAACAAAAATTACATTGCTGCAATGTGTTTTTTAGGAAAAAATAGTTTGGTTCATAGTTTTAATAAAAAATATATCTGGTTTTTTTGTAGCTGTTGGTGAAAAAAGATCTCAACACAAAATCCAAGCTCCCATATCCCCAAGAATATCAAATGGTTAAGTCCCTTATCAAAGCAAATCATTATTGGACTCACTGTGAATTGATAGAACTAAAATCAGAAGTATTACTCTGATACCTCTATGCATCAATACCTGATCACACCTCCATACCAGTAGGGTGCTGCTAACATAGAAATGTTGTTTTCAGTTGACTCTTGACTTTAAAATTCATAGATTTTAACTTCTTATATACACCTTCATTATGTCAGGTTACAAGGAAGTCATGTTTCTTACTTTAGACATCTAACTTTTCACATTTTAATTTTCGACCAATGTGTCAAAATAATATCTGAGATCTATGAAAGAAATGCTAATGATATGATATCACTTATAGGTCCAAGCACAGCATGCTTTGACCCACTGCTTTCAAAATCAAAGTGAAATAGTCAGCAGTCAAATTCAGGCAAAACCACAAAATCCCCATTTACACAGGGGCTACTGTGTACCAGAGACATTTTCTACAGTGATCATTTATTTAATAAACTGCAGTGATGTGAGTGATGTGATGACAACTTACTATGTGTCTCTGTTGCGATCCAGCTGTTCGAATGCCTGTGCTGCCTTCAGCTTGTCTCGAGCTGCCTGCCGTTCTGCCTTTACAGCTGTAAACACATAACAACATCATCTCCAACCTTGGATGCCATGTGATGTAAACAATCTCCACACTACCTAAACACAAGGGCAGGGGTTTATAGAGTGGGAACTAGTCGCTGCAGTCTTTGAGTGATGCTCTGGAAAAAAAACCTGACGAACAGAGAGAAGGATGGATAGCACCCATTCCTATATCTGCCTCTCACTTTGTGGCGGAGGATAAAAAAATGTCACGGGAAATCTATTCTTAGTTATTCCAAGGAAGGCAAAGGGCATATGCTTGAATTATGCATAATTGTCATCAGTACCGGTAATTTTCATCCATGGGCCCACCTATTGAGAAGGGGACAAAACTGCATGACAACAGATATATATCTACTGTTCAGATAGGGTTGGTCTACTGCTGTCCTACAAATAGTCCAAGGCATTGTTGCTCACAGGTACATGATGAGAGAGATTAAATTTACATTTAGTAAAATCTTCATCCATTAGCAAAACAGATAAAGCCATTAATTGTGCCAGTAATGAGTGCTCAAAAAGATTTTCATTACAATTTTGTGGCTGTTGAGAGTTCCTTAAATTTTTGTCATATCAACTGCTGTAAAGACTGGTCATGTGAGACAACAGTTTGACATTATCGAACAATGTTAAACACATCCATGTAAAGAATCACTGTATACAGCAATAGCATAGATGTAAACTGTTTTAGTCTGGCAACCTGTCAACAATGGCCAAAGCAAATGTTGTTGCCAAAGAGAAATTTGAAATTATCACATAATCTATGTAGTTTCAGTTTAAAATTAAATGGTATTCCTTACAATTAAAATTTGACTTTATTTATAAATATTAAAGGCATGTTTCCATAACATGACCAAATCAAAGAAACATGAAAACCATTCACATCCTCATATGTTTCAGCCTGTCCTCATGGTTGTCTGAATTGAGAAAAGTATGAAACAAAATGTTTTACCAAAAACTGTTAAAGTTGTGTAAAGGCTACTGACTGTACAGAGTGTGCAGCAACCATCAGTTTAGTTTGTTTACCTTCCCAGGCTTTCTCATGCGTCTCTTTGGCTTCCTTCTCGGGGGATTCAACTTCCATCTTCCTTCCTGAAACAAGCAAACATGCAATTCAAATATTTATTTAAAAGATATAGAAATATGTGAAACAATCACATCAGTTGAAAATAATAGCAGTCACCCAGTTGCCAATGACAAGAATTTCCCAACATCCTACTCATACTCTCACCATCGAGCTCCTCCTTTTCCCTAGACCTTCTCATACCTTCTCATACTCTCACCATCAAGCTCCTCCCTTTCCCTACACCTTCTCATACTCTCACCATCAAGCTCCTCCCTTTCCCTACACCTTCTCATACTCTCATCATCAAGCTCCTCCCTTTCCCTACACCTTCTCATACTCTCATCATCAAGCTCATCCCTTTCCCTACACCTTCTCATACTCTCACCATCAAGCTCCTCCCTATACCTAGACCTTCTCATACTCTCACCATCAAGCTCCTTCCGTTCCCTACACCTTCTCATACTCTCATCATCGAGCTCCTCCCTTTCCCTACACCTTCTCATACTCTCACAATCAAGCTCCTCCCTTTCCCTAGACCTTCTAATACTCTCACCATCAGTTGCTCCCTTTCCCTAGACCTTCTCATACTCTCACCATCAAGCTCCTCCCGTTTCCTACACCTTCTCATACTCTCATCATCGAGCTCCTCCCTTTCCCTACACTTTCTCATACTCTCACCATCAAGCTCCTCCCGTTTCCTACACCTTCTCATACTCTCATCATCAAGCTCCTCCCTTTCCCTACACCTTCTCATACTCTCATCATCAAGCTCCTCCCTTTCCCTACACCTTCTCATACTCTCACCATCAGTTGCCCCCTTTCCCTAGACCTTCTCATACTCTCACCATCAAGTTCCTCCCTTTCCCTACACCTTCTCATACTCTCACCATCAAGCTCCTCCCGTTTCCTACACCTTCTCATACTCTCACCATCAAGCTCCTCCCTTTCCCTACACCTTCTCATACCTTCTCATACTCTCACCATCAAGCTCCTCCCTTTCCCTAGACCTTCTCATACTCTCACCATCAGTTGCCCCCTTTCCCTAGACCTTCTCATACTCTCACCATCAAGCTCCTCCTTTTCCCTACACCTTCTCATACTCTCATCATCAAGCTCCTCCCTTTCCCTACACCTTCTCATACCTTCTCATACTCTCACCATCAAGCTCCTCCCTTTCCCTACACCTTCTCATACTCTCATCATCAAGCTCCTCCCTTTCCCTACACCTTCTCATACCTTCTCATACTCTCACCATCAAGCTCCTCCCTTTCCCTACACCTTCTCATACTCTCATCATCAAGCTCCTCCCTTTCCCTACACCTTCTCATACCTTCTCATACTCTCACCATCAAGCTCCTCCCTTTCCCTAGACCTTCTCATACTCTCACCATCAGTTGCCCCCTTTCCCTAGACCTTCTCATACTCTCACCATCAAGCTCCTCCTTTTCCCTACACCTTCTCATACACTCATACACAAAAACTCTTTTAGAACACTTCTAGTTCCCCATTCCTTTTCCCATGCTCACCCTCAAGCACCTCCCTGTCAGTTGTCAGTTGTTCCTTTGACTTCTCAAGATCCTCAACTAGGTCCTGCAATAAAGAGTTAAGGATCCTTTATCCATTCATGTGTAACTGACAAATATATGGTGTGCAGTTTTTACTCCAAAGCAGGCAACTATTTTCTTTCATTATGACAAGATGTACCTTGTTGGTTTGGAGATTCTGTAAGCCCTCTTCCACATACTGTTTTCTGATGTTGAATCCTGCCTCTCGCAGCTCCTTCTCACGCAGCAGATCTTCACGGCGCTTGCGGCCCAGCTCACTAAAAACACATGCAGCACTTTTACAGATGATCAAAATCTTTACTCAAAAGTATATCTTTTATCATGTTTATCAAATATGTTTCAAGTTATAGGCATAATATTGGGCTGTCAGTTTTGATGGCTGTTATGAACTGATTATATTGGCAGTAAAGCAATGAAGTACCTGTATGGCACAGGACAACTAATCTAAGCATGTCCATCATTGAGTATCAGCATACTTACTCGCAGGTATTTGTACATTGAATCTTCTCCTGTTGGTACTCATCAGATCCATCACAACAATCTGGTAACAGGCAGTGCAGAATGGAAGTTTATATCATACTATACCCTGGACTTGTACATGTTTTGCGCTGACTGTAACAATGCTACAAGAGTATATTTCATAACTATGCCAATGGCATTGCCAATAGCATTGCCATGTTAAGACTCAGGACAAGGGATCAACTATTTCATAGGAATGAATTTATCAATAGAGTGAGTTTTGGATACATCTCATTAAAAGCTGTCAAAGCTAAAATCTCATCAGGCATGTAAACAACTCTGGTACCTGAGCCTTTTGGAAAGCCACATTTTAAGAAGTGTTTAATAACACAAGAATAAGATGAAATGTAATTAAGAGTGGTTTGGATGTTTTCCTAGGTCCCCCTTATAAAGTGTGTCAGTCAATCTTTTTGTAATCGGGATGTAGGTTTTTTTAATTCCACATTGTAAGTTTAGTTACCAGCAACAGAACTAAGAATGTGTTTTGAACTTGAGTAGATAGGTCTATGGTTGAGGTGCCATCACTTTTTTACAAACTCACAATAATTTGAAAATGAAGTCCCTTTGTAATGCTTTAACTATATCACACTTATACAAGTTAATTCTGTATGCCATGTGGACAGCAAAATGATTTGCTGAAATCTGACAACAAACACTGTTCCTGGCGACCTGCTCTTATTTTGCCTGGCAAATACTCACATGTAAACAGGACTATTCTGCACACTGTTGATTGCAAGTGTGTCAAAACAAAATGCTGACAACCCATAGTATATAATTTTTAACTAAACACAGAATTCTTGTCAAAAATGGAACACATATGTACAAAAGTGGATCAATTGCCTACTTACCACAAATACCATCATTGACACGAGAAGACAAAATATCTTCTGCTACGTGACCTCTGTTTTGGCAGAAGAACTTCATGTTGGGACATGCTGCAGTACCTGAACACAAAAACTAATCACTTTCACAGTATGTCAAGGCGGACTCTACCTAGCTCACTGCCAGGGCTCCATTTAAGGTTTGCTTGTTTGTTGTTTAACAACCTGGTCCCATAAATTTATCAAAGTTGTAACATAGACATGATAGATGCATAAGCTCACTTAAACATATAAAATACCATTGCCATAAAACATAATAGGAACATGTGCACATATTGAAGTACCCAGAGTTTGATGATGTCAAGCTATTAGTCATAACACAGGGATAAGGGATGTTGCATGGTACATAGAGCTAAGATGTATTGAGTGTTCAAAGATTGCTGTTGTGTGGAAGAGTAAGGCTCAGTGTGCTTGGTGCATGTAGACATACAAATTGGGTGGCACTTTTCAATAATAGGTTGCACTGGTGCATGGTTTACATAGCTAACTTGAGCCCTGGCTCCAGATGTAATATACCACTGGTTTTCCTTGACCAGACTTAATTATTTACACCTTGATATCTCAGGAATAGCACAGATGGAAAACAAGGTAAGAATGCATGTAGAAGTCCTGACACGATCATGCCCGATTGTACACATTCATAGTAAAGCTGTCCTCACCTGGTTCATCAGTGCCATCATCACAATCACAATAGTCGTCATTGACATACTCGAAGGGGATTTCAGTGCCAGAAGTCAGACATTTAAACGTATTTCCTGCCCTTGGCTGGTAGAGTGATGCTCCTGCAATACAAACCAGGTATCACTCATAACTGACCTCATATACTGTCACATTATGTTGCCTAAAAGTGACACTAAAGTACATAGAGAAATACTTTGCCATTGCTCTGTCAAGAATGAGCAGTTTTTCAGGCACTACATGTTACAGAAGCTATTTAGAGGTATAGTAACTCCATTTGCTGTGTCATCTTAAGGATATACTTTTCAGACTCATCTGTTCAGAAACAAAGAAATGTACAATGTGTCTTGGTAAAATATCTCATACTAAATTTATTTATGTAATGCAAGACTTTATACTGATCTTTAATATTAGACTGATTTGAGGCCTTTGTACTACAAAATACCTCTGATGGAGTGAGTGAGTTGGGTTTAACACCGCTTTGAATAGTATTCCAGTTATATCATGGCACATCAGCTCAATACAAGAGGAAAGCCGGATGTGATGCAGGTCCCCGACGTTTACCACTTTGGTGGAACCCACAAGCACGGCTATGGTGGTGCTGAGAGTCTTTAAATCATACTGTATTTTCATGTGTATTGTGCACACTTTTTCTTCAGAAGATGAAGCAGCGCAGAGGGGGTGCTCATTATACACGCACCCAGATTTCCGATATTTTCCCCCCTCTGGTTAAACAAAACATCCAGCATATATACCGGACATCGAGCTTCAGTAGCCAGAATAAAATACAGATACATTTGTCTGTCCTAGTTTTATATTTCAGATACAACTGAATGAAGATTTGTTACATTAAATGAACAAGGAATCTTAACAAATGCAATTTTTAAATTTGTATATATATTTATATCGTTCTAATACGAGGGCTGGTCTAAAAGTTCCAAGCCTGACCAACTATGGGTCATAACAAATCTAGTACATTGTTTGAGTTGTACATTGCAAGTGTATTTGGTCTGTTGAGGCCATTTGTATATTAGTGACAGCCAGTTGAACATGATAGGGATCAAAATGGACACAGAAATGGAAAAGAGCGAGTACCGAGCAGTCATCAAGTTTTTACTCACGGAGGAATTCATGGCTGCATGTCACAAGTGTATGGGGATAAGTGCCCAATCTATTCCACTGTTTAACATTTGGCAGCTATGTTTAAGGCTGGGTGAACAAGACGTGATGATGACCCTAGGTCTGGACATCCCTCAACATCCATCAAAGAAGATTCAATCAAGGAGATAGAATAACGTCTACTGTCAGAGAGACATATTACCATTGCTGAACGTGAGGAAGACACAGGTCTAAGCCATGGATTCATTGAAACCAAAGAAACACAAGTCCACAAGACCAGCGAAGAAAGGAATGGCAACAGTATTCTGGGGTGCAAAGGGTGTGATCCTTGTTGATTGAGATTTTATCACAGAAAAGCAGTGAGGAATACTGACTGCTGGAGTTCTACTACAATGCCTCTTCTCACACACCTTGACTTGCAAAGGCTGCGACAATGTGGGTTCGAAGAGCTTCCTCATCCTCCATACTTGCCAGACCTGGCACTAAGTGATTTCCACCTGTTTCCTAAACTGAAAGAACACCTTCGGGGAAATATTAAGATGACAATGATGACCTCAAAACTGCTGTGAATGGGTTTTTCAGGGTGGCTTCAGAAAACTTCTTCCTGACTGGAATTGAAAAGCTTCACTATCCTTATGAGAAGTGTCTTGAAAAGCAAGCAGATTATGTTGAAAAACAAAATTAAAAACACTTGCACAATTGTTGGTTTTGTTTGTTAAGCTTAGAACTTTTTGACCAGCCATCGTAAAGGCTATAAAAGTAATTCAAACATGTCATTTTAGGCATAATCCTGCTTGAGGCGTTCCCACTAGCTCACTATTATTTACAGTTACGCCAACTTGACTGACCCCCATCTGCAATTTCTGCTTAACAAAGAACTGATAAATATATATTGTATCCAAAACGTCGACCCATAAGAAGTCGAAATTGTAATTTGTTCTGTTATAGCCAATTTTATAACTTTTTTTATTGTGATAGCGTGGCTTCAGCATGTGACTCCATTCGAATCACTATTTGGTCTGACTGGTGAATAGTCAAATGTGTCTCATACCCTGGGAATAACCGGCGACATTATATTGCAGTAAAGTGAGTGAGTGAATGAGGTTTTACGCCGCTTTTAGCAATATTCCAGCAATATCACGGCGGGGGACACCAGAAATGGGCTTCACACATTGTACCCATGTCGGGAATCGAACCCGGGTCTTCGGCGTGACAAGCGAACACTTTAACCACTAGGCTACCCGACCGCCCCTATTGCAGTAAAAACAAATGTAGCTAATACTATTGTAAATTAATTACTATTTCGGAGAAGCCATCATTCATCTCATTACTCATCACACATTCATACAGTCACATATATCTTTCATACATATTCAAACATACATATGGTAAATCAATCAACATGTACCTCCGACTATTGTCTCCTAGGTTCACTGTAGTCAGTTTAATGTTCATGACTCATACATGGCTTCATCAAGGCCCAGGTAGTCACTGTCTGTCATCATTAAAGATGTTTTCCAGTACAGCGTCGTCATCATCAGCGTAGTACATTTCCTGGGCGTCTTCTTCTGCAGTTAACTTCTCCTTTGCCACAATTGTCTCTTCGTAGAGGATATCATCATCGGTGCATTCCAAATTGTTTGTGATGCAGCACTTCTTGAAGGAACGGCTGACAATATCCTTTGGAATTTTCATTCCAAACTTCAAGTATCCATGTACACATTTTCCAGAGCTCAGGACGACGTTGCTGTTGTGGTCTACTGCCCTTCAGCCATCTACTCGTTCAATCGTAGAAGGGACTTAAGGGCTTGTTCAACAAGACGTCCAATAAGTGGGGCAAACCGGGATCAGATTCCACAATCACAGGTTTCTGGTGTGCCCATATGGGACACAACTCTGCACAGTGAATTAAACGATGCACAGGGAGTGTCATTTTACACACTTGTAACATCATTCTCATATACAGGAGGAGTAGGTCAGAGGCTTTGAGTTATCTGCCCTTCATACCTCATTATTTTTATATTGACTTTTCATTCCATCATAACTGACAGTCACAATGAAATGAATACTGTAAACAGGGAATTTTTTGCGACCGTTTGATTATTGCGAGTTTTGCGAACGAGATTCAATCGCAAAAATTAAAAACGCAAAAATAAGTATAAATAATACATACATACTTTATTCATTGCAACACGTCATCAAATGTTGAAATAATCAACCAGAACCACAAGTTACTCTATAAGTTAAAAACACAAATGAATGCAGAATGGTCACACAATACATCACAAATGACAGTGTAAACAGACCAATTAGTGTCACTGTTACCTCACAGTAATCCTGCCTTCTTCCAACCTCGCTTGATAGCGTCAGTGTCCTTTGCAATTTTGTCCACACAGGAAACAAGCCATCTTGCGTGAATCGGTTTCATGACACTGGTCAACTTTCCGGCCAACTCAGATTAACTAGCTTCTGGGGGAGAAGCTGTCTATTGTTTGGTAATCGAGGGGTCATCTCAACACGGCAACTCGCAAAAATATCTCATCGCAGTATTGTCTTTGGTGTGGTATTCGCAATATTTTAACGGCGCAGAAATAAAGCTGTTTACAGTATTGTTATTATACAGATATAAACATACTTTATTCTTTTAGATTTTCATTACATCACAACTGACAGTCACAACAAAATTAATACATTTATTATAAAGGTATACCGTGAATGTATTTTATTGCTTTAGATTTTCAGAATTGAATAAAACGTGTATATTAAGGTTTATGTGTGTCTTAATATTGAGTCAATGAGTGAGACAAGATGACCAACATGTTCCACAGCTTGTTCTCTTAGATTTTCTGAAATGATAAGTCTATTATACACAACATTTTCTTCTTTTTTGCTTGAAATATTATCAAGTTTTGACAGGCATTTAGAAGTTGGAAGAACATGAATGTGTAACTCTTTTTTATGGAAAGGCTTCTTTATTCTTTGTAAGGTTTCAGGGTTACTTCTTGCCCTTTCATTCACCTTTCATTGAGGGTTCTGTGTACTTTGGAATCAGTCATGCTGTTGGTGGGTTTTGTCCTAAACGACGACAATGTTTGATATTTCTGCAGCCTGGTATGTCTTTGATGATTTCAGCAATTGCATTCTTAAAGATCTCTGATGCATTGATTCAGAATGATACAAACATCTTCTCAGACCGTCATGACTGCTGAATGTTAGATATCTGCTTTTAGGGTGAAACTCCTTAAGAACTATGACAATGACATTACTCATTATCATTATTCGGTACTGAGTCGCACCGCCAAGCCAGACTCCTGAATTCAAAGAACCTCCATTATATATTTATTGAATCTGTGCACAGCGGTAATTACCTTGTAGTGAAATTGCACATTACAAAGATGACTTAGTTATTTTTCAAACTGGCACTAAATCAAATTGGCTAGATTGGCTAGATTGCATAGATATATTTGTTGCATAAGGATTTCATATAACTGATTTTGTTCACATTTGCCTTGTTGTTTTCGTTGTTGAAAAAGTTCACACATATCAATTTGGACTCATGTAAGCTTGTGGTCAAAGCTTCACGTAACGGAGGGAAGTTGTCATAGCGACTGATTTACGACACCCATTGTCTGAAGAACATTTAACTGCAAAGGCTCATTACCCTGGAGCCATGACATCTATATGCCTTGAAACACTTAATTGCTGTTATTTATAAGATGCTAATCCTAATTGTTAATCCCCATTTTTGTGTACATCAACTGTCTGCCATCCTGAACAAGATGAGCAAGTATGTCACTGATGAATTACTGTTTACATTTATATTTATTACTTACTAAATGTCAGGTGACCTTGGCTATATAAGCCTTGGTCCAGAGAGATTTAGAGTATACCCAGTCTCCGTATGGGACCAAAATCAGCGAGACGCATACATCGCAAATGAAACAAACACCCCACACATCCCACAAACTCACACTCTCACCCTCCC